AAGTCTCAGCACTGTAAAGTTATCCGCAGCCACTGCAGCATGAGTTCAATCCCCGGCCAGGGACACACATGGCGCAGCAGACATTTCCTGTCTTGTCCACTGCTCCCCTCAGCAGTGTATTTCAGTAGTCAGCCTGTTCTGCTCCCCACTCTGTCTCTGGTGAATCCTCTCACTCCCCCACATCCCTGGCCTATACTCCAGTTCTTGTATGCATAATAAAATAAATCTTTTTAAAAAATAAATAAACTAACACCTGAAGGATGAGTGGGAGTGGGCTGCATGAAGGGCGGCAGATGATAGAGAAGAGGCTGTGTGGGAAGGGACCAGCACAGAGGAACCCCAGAGTCCAGAAAAACATGCCCGCTTCAAGAAAAAACAGAGGACTGTGTGACTGGAGCAGAGTGAGTGGGGGAAGGGATGAAATGATTCTGGTGAGAAGGAGAATGAAAAGTTTCTGGGACTCCAACCTGGTAAATTCCAGCAATTAAGCCATAGGAGGTCACAGAAAACTAGAGAAGAGTGTTTCAAGGAGAAGGAAGTAGCCAACACTGGCCAGGTTAGCCAGGAAGTGAACGAAGAGAAAGACGTGCATGTGACAGATGGGAGGCCATCAGCAAAGGCCGTCGTGGACGCAACTGGGCTGGGGTGATGGAGGCAGAAACCAGAGAGTGGAGGAGAGATAAGAGGTGAGGAAATGGAGACACGGGAGGAGGAGAGCTCCCTTTGGAGAGGCTTGGCTGTGACGAGAAGGCCATGGGCAAGAAGGCTGGGGGAGATTTGAGCCTGTTTGTCACCCAAAAAGCTTGACTCTTTGTAGACACTCAGTAAGGTATGTTGCACCGAACTAAACTGAGGTGGAGCTTGAAGGTACAGGAGAGAGGCAAATGATGACTCAGGCCGGGGAGAAGGGGCTGAGAGCACAAATACCTCTTGAAAGGAGACAGGCATACTTCTTCATGAAAATGAATGGAAAAGGGGGAGGCAAAGAGGCTGGGTGTAGAATGTAGGGTTTATTGGCTAGAATGGGAGGGGGATATTTCTGCAGAGACAGTCATGCATAGTTTAATGATAGGGACACTACTCTGAGAAATGCATTGTTGCTAGGTGATTTCATTGTTGTGTGATCAGCATGGAGTGTAATGACATGCCTAGATGGTAGGGTTTGCTATACACCTAGGCTACGTAGAATGGCTTATTGGGACCACTAGCATATATGTGGTCAGTCATTGACCAAAACATCCTCAAGTGCTGCATGACTGTCATAGGGCTAGGAGATGAAGCACTTGTATGCTTTTTATTCTCTTCAGAGGATTTCAGGCTTAGCTCTGACCCCAGTTTATGACTTATCTGGAGACCATAGATAAACTATTTAATAGTTGGTGGGTGCTTACTTCAAAAATTGTTTTTATTTCTTGGGCTAGGAACTAGGTAAGTCATGTTGAAAAACAAAATTCACAATTTTAGAGATCTAATTGGCTTTATTTAATGATTCATTAAATGATTCATGAATTGGGCAGCATCCCATGCAGATACTACTGGTAGTACTATATAGGCTTATACAAATGGAGGGTCTTTATAGGCAGAAAAGGTTATGTGCAAAACAAAAGATTATTTCCATGAAACTATGGAAATAGTTTCATGGGGCAGTGAGGGGCAATGAGGGGGCTTTATGAAGTATCTGGCCTCACTGGCACTGATTGGAAACTCCAGCTTGATTGGCTTAGAATTGCATTTTTGGGAGAGGGTGAAACTAGTGAGATGGGGATCCATTGTGAACAACTCCATTTTGAAACCTTTTTTCCTAAAGATTTATTTATTTACGCATACAAGAAATGGGGTATAGGCCAGAGGTGCAGAGGGTGAGAGAATTCCTCAGAGACAGATGGAGAGCAGAACAGGCAGACTGACTGAAATACACTGCTGAGGGGAGCAGCAGGCAAGACAGGAGAGGTCTGATGTGCCAGCTGGGTCACCTCCCTGGTCAGGGATCGAACTTGTGCTGCAGAGCCTATGGATAACTTCATAGTGCTGAGATTTAACCACTTGGGCCACCAGGGAGGCCCTATTTTCTCCCCATTTTTAGAAGGCAGCTTGTTACAATTACGTCTAAAATGAAAGTATATAGATTATGAAGAACATTGACAAAGGGACCAACATCTCCTTTGAGGAATAACCACTCATCTGGCCCAGAAAAATATAACTTGCAATCACTGTGGACACAGGTTAGAGATGGGGCACAGGTAACTACAGACCCCTCCTGGATGACCTTAGCACTTTACTAGAGTTTCGTTATAAGAGGCCACAAAGCCCCTTTCAATTCTTCCAAATAACAGTATTAGTTCTTAGTTCCTACTTCCTGTGTCCCAACTGTGTGCTGGGTGTTACACATACATTGTTGCAAATCTTCGGAACAACCCTACCAGGGAAATTGCATTGTTTCCATTTTGCTGCTGAAGAAACTGCAGCTCAGAGACCTGAGCACTTTCCTCAAAGTCTCTGATCAGTAGTAGAATTTGAGCCCAGGGTGGGCGGAGACATTTCCCCCACACCCCAGAGACCACTATGTGCTGCTAAGATAAAGGTAGGGATGGGGAGGTGAGGTCCCAAGCCAGCTTCAACCTGAGCAATTTCCCATTTGTTACCTTTGCCTGTGGCACTTGGAGGTAAACTTCATGAGCAAAGATTATAGAGAAGGAAGAAAGTGTGGAAGCCGTTGCCCTCCACAGAGGTGTTTGAACTCCTCAGCTGAAGCGTGCCTTCTCCAGAAATGCTCCGTGTGCCAGTTGTCTCCCCTGGCACATCTATCCTCCACAGGACTGGCAGAGTGATTTTTCTAAAAGCCCATCATGTCACTCCTCTGCTTAAAAAACTTCTATAGCTCCCAGCTTACTTCTAAAATCTGTGTTCTGGGCCTCCCTGGTGGTGCAAGGGATTAAGGCACAGCACTATGAAGCTATCCGCAGCTACTGCAGCACGAGTTCGATCCTTGGCCAGGGAGCTACCCACATGGCACAACAGACCTCTCCTGCCTCGCCGCTGCTCCCCTCAGCAGTGTATTTCAGTGGATCTGCCAGTTTTGCTCCCCGATCTGTCTCTGGTGAATCCTCTCAACTCCACACACTTCTGGCCTATACCCCAGTTCTTGTATGCATAAATAAATAAATCTTTACAAAAATTGACCATTTAAAAAACAAATAAATAAAATCTGTGTTCCCTTTTTAGCATGACCTACAAGCCCCTGACTGATCTGGACCTCCATCCACCTCTCCAGCTTTGCCATCAACTTCTCCCTAGCTTCCATGCTCTTGCTAAACTGGCTTACCTGCATTTCCAGGTACTTGCTAAGTACACCCATATGTACCCCAGGGACTCTGAGCAGAGGAACCTCCCCCTTCTCCACTGACCAACTCGCATTTACTCCTAGTGCCTCAGATCAGGCATGACTTTCCACCCAGAGAATTTTTCTTGTACCTTTCCACGGGTCAGGCCCCCCCTCCCTTGGTGCGGCACCCCTCCTCCCACAGCCCTGCTGCTTGCCTGTCACAGTCCTGCTTCTAACTATCTCCTTGTCTTGGCCAAATGCCCCACTAGAATGCAGATTTGCATCATCTGCTTAACTCAGTTTTGCTCCCCTGGAAAAAAGTTTCTCGGGGAATTTGTTCTTTCTCTTGGGGTAAGCATACCAGGCTTGCCTCGAAAAGCATACCAGAAATGCCAATGGCTTGATGTTAGGCATGGAGAGTTTTCAGCTTGGGAGTTTGTCCCCTGCAGCCAAACCTCAATTTTACATGGAGGAGGTAGGCTAGGCAATATCACATGATGAGAAAAATCTGTGGGGAAGAATCGCTGACTACACGAAAAATTCTAGAAAGCTGCTTTCAACTCTTTTAGCTGACTTGGTTTTCATTTGGGAAAGAGCAGGGAAGATCTTGTCTCAGGTCCTCAATCTGCTAAGAGTTAACATGCTCAAGTTTAAATTTTTTCTGTGAAGTAGGGACCACTGTTATGTGTCCTTTGAATGCTGGGCAAAGGCACTCACCAGTCTTCCCTCCAAGCCAGCAGCCCATAGACTCAGCCATGTGGCAGGAAGGCCCTGCCCAGACAGCCTTCATCAAGCCCAATGCACATTGGCAGCTGTCCAGGGGGAGACTGTGGAGCAGAAACCACAGTTCTGCATCAGTTAGCCAATTTCCATCTATAAAATGGGTACAGGGAGCGGAAAGCGGGTATTTATGGCCAATGCCAATACCGAATGCCAAAATCCAGGGACTGGTCATCCTCTTCCCTTCAAACATCGAAGTTCGTTGAGAGGAAAAAGGAAATGATAAATTACACTGTGTGACTATGTTTCAGGTGTAGTTCCTAGAGACATGGGGCCGGCTGAAAATATGAACAGGAAGGAAGGATTTGGATCAGCTCATGGATGAGAGGAACTGAATGGGTTATTAAAGGGAGGTGAGCACAGAGGGGAATAAAGAGAGCAAATAGGAAGGCAAGGAAACTTGAATGGATGGTGTTCCTAGACTGCATTCTGTGTGACTCAGTTTCTCTCTGGTGTCCAAGGGCTGGGATGGGAGAGCTGGGGAAGCAGCAGTTCATTACAAGGACTACAAGCCTCCAGGGATACCAAGCTACTTTAAAAATGTGCTGATCTGTTAGGCAGCAAGGACGTGGAGCTTTTGCTCGTTTGAGCCTGTCAACACTAGTATATTCCATACATTGCATGCGATTTGTATGTATTATAGATTGTACAATAAGCTGTATGTCTACTCTAAATATATTAAGTGAAGTTTAAAAACAATACTCATGATTGAAGCCCTTTGTAGGAGGAAAGTGCCAGCTGGGTGTGTCTCATTGGAGGGCAGATTTCAAGGTAACTCAGATGACTCACCAGGAAATATCAGACATGTACATTTGCGGATTTGCTTCTTTCCTTACTCTCCACAGACAATTGCTCTGGATGAGAGACTGTGCTGGAGATCAGGTGTGTAGACACCAAAGAGCCCAGATACAGGTGAACTGTGTGTCTTTATTCAGAGCCAAGGGGAAAGTAGCTTTTTCAGCGCACATGTGGGCCTTTGCTCTGAGAGTGAGGGCCAGAACCCGCCCTGGGTCTGTAGCTGGTTGTCATAGGTTGGTGACCTTGTCCTTGCAAACTAGGGATGTTTCCCCCCTGCTGGTTAATTAAAAAAAAAAAAAGTAAGTCAAAGGACAGATTTGTTGGGTGAAAGGAAAATAGATGCCACTTTAATGTGCTTAAGAAGTCATCGGTGATACAGTGGAAAAGGTACGGGTCAGGTCTGGTTGTGTTAGCAGACGGTTGCCAGGGACTGACTCTGCTGGCACAAAGTGAGTGGTTAATAGCCAAGTCAAGTCTACAGTTAGGTGCTTAGATGCATCAGTGGTTTACAATCTTAACTTATTCTCCTAGGAAATGTTTTCCAAAAAACTCAGAGCTTCTGCCTGCCCAGAAATGGATACTGGAAGCTGAAATTTGCCGCTGCAAAGAGGAACAAGTTCCTGCTCCCACTCCTTAGCCTTACAGTTTAGGGATGCAGTGCTAAGACAGCTTGGTCTTTGCTCTCTGGCTCGCTCTCTCTCTCTCTCAAGAATGCTCCGGTCCCCGGATCTCCGGGTCGGTGGTGCCAGGAGACCCCGACAGATACCTGAAACAGACCCGGAGGTGGTCAGCTCCTCGCGGGTCCAGCGTGCTTGGTTGTGGCCACAGCAGCGTCCCAGGTGCCGTCCCTTTGGCGGGACCCCGGATAACCCAGTCTCTGGGCGATGTCTAGTCTGGGCTTGCCCTCAACGGTCCTGGAAGAAGGGGAATATATGTCGGAGAAAGCCATGAATATGCGGCACCCGCTTGCCAGTGGAGTCCTTCTTGCTGGGCGACGCCGCTGCTCTTGTATCCATGGCCATGGCGCCCATGGCGCTCTGGGTCCGTCGCAGCGGCCGTGCGGAGTCGCCGCCGCCGCCGCTGCTGTTGTTGTTGGCGTTGTTCCACGGGTAGCTGTCCGCGGGGCCCCAGTCCTCGGCCCCCAACAGGTCCCGTAGTCCTTGGGGCGCGTCGGGCCGTAGGTAGTGGCTGGCCCGGTGGCCGCTGTGGTCGCGGCGCGTGGGGTCAGCGCCCAGGGCGCCCACCAGCACCTTGATGACCATGTCGTGGCCCTGCATGGCCGCCAGGTGGAGGGGCGTGAGGCCGCCGCTGCCCTGCACGCTCACGTCGAGCTGCAGCCCCCGGAGCCGGGCGAAGTCGTGCACCCTGATGAGGTCCTCGTGGCGCCCGTGCTTGGCGAGCCAGTGCAGCACCGTGTAGCCGCTAATAGGGTCGACCTTCAGCAGCAGCGTCGGCTCCGCTTCCAGCTGTTCCCACAGTGCCTCGATGCAACCCTCGGCGGTCGCCAGGATCCAGGCGTGCTCCCGGGGCTCCAGACACAGCCTGCTGCCGCCTGCCCCGCTGGACCCTCCCAGAGACTGCTCCTCAGCGCGCTCCTCCGACGGCCACCCGGCGGGCGCCGCCCCCTGCAGCCCCAGCAGCTCGAGCAGTCCTCGCCGGCGCCCGGTGAGCGTCATCGTGCCGTAGAAGGAGGACTCCCGGGAGGAGGCGGCGGCGACGTGGCCCCGTACCTGCCCAGGCTGCCGGTGTCCCTCGCGAGAGCCGGGGCTGCGGAGGCTTCCGCACGGTCTGCGCGGTGGGGACCTGCGAGGCCTTGGGTGCCGGCTTCGCGGCCCTTCGGGGCTGGGCCATGGTCGTGGAGGTGCCGCCGCGACGGGTCCAGTGTCTCGCGTTCGCTGCCCTTCCCGGGCCCCGCCGGGAGAGGAACTGGCGCTGGCGCGGTGGAAGGAAGCGGCTTGAGCAACTGGGCTCCGAGGGAGGGAGCGAAGGAGGGGAGGAGAGGGAGGGAAGGCGCACGAGAGTGCAGGGAGGGCCCCGGCGCGCGCTGGCCTGCAGGGGTGCGAGCTCCGGCCAAGTCGCCAAGGCGAGCCCCTGCCGGCACCGCGGGGTCCGCGGCCACCTCAGCTGCCCGGGGCTGCCTGCGGCCCCGCCCCAAACCGCCAGGTGAGCCGGGCAGCCCCGCCTGCCAGGGAGCCGGCCGCCGCGGGCCGCGCGCAGGGGAGGGCAGCGAGCACCGCCGAGCGCCTCCCGGAGCGGCCCCGCGGCCCAGCAGCCGCGTTCTCAGCATCCCAACAACGGCCGGCTGATGGGGCTCTAGGGCGCCCCTCCCCGGCGGGCCGACCTTGGCTGCCAGCCGAGGCCCCGCGGAGGAACGCGAGCCTTGAGCCCCAGGGCGCTCGCTCCCGCCCCCTTCCTCGGCCCTTCCGTCTTATCGCCTCAGGACTCTCTCGCGCTGCACTTTGTCCCGGAGCCGCCTTTGTCCGGAGTCTCGCATTCTCCGAAGGCGGCCGGGCGGCCCCATGTGACCGGACTCGCGGGCCCTGCCCTTTGGGTGGCCTTGACCCTCCCGCAGCTCCCGGGGCTGCCCGGGATTCCTGCGGAGAAACCCGAGAGCTGGGCTCCGGCAGAAGCCCTTCCAGGGAACGGAGAGGCTCTCCCCTGCTTCCTCGCGGCTCCCAGCAACGCTCTCCACCCTCTTCTCCCTGGTTCCCAGGTTGCCCTGAAGCTGCTGGTACAGGTGAATCTGAGTCCGCGGCCACGGAACCCCTGCCTGCTTCCGAGAAGCATCCCTGCCGTTCGCCGAGCAACCTGCTGATTTCGGTGAATTCAGAGCTCCGGGGCTTTTAAAAGAAGAGCAGGCTTTACCTTTTCACTCCTAACACTGGCCTCCTCTTTGCTCTTCCCTACCCTCATTAAAGGCACTTGTTACCTCCTTCCTCCCTCCCCCGCCCCCCACGTTAGGAGGTTTCTCAGTGAGTAACCAGTGGGAGCCATAGAAGGTTCTTGAGCCACAGTAGGACACAGCCAGTTCAGGTGGTGTCTAGGAAGATGATTCTTGGAAAGCCAGAGGCAAAAAGCCAGGAGACTATTTCAACAGACTAGCCCAGAAAGGATGGGGGCTCAGGCCAAACCAGCCCGCTGCCCTAGGCCCAACAGTGATGGGAGGTGACTGGTTTTCTGCCTTGGCCCTCAACTATTTGGAATCAGCTTTAAATATCTTGAGCTTTCCTTCATGACAACCTATTCATTTGTCAACCAGTTGTGAACATTTCCTACATGCCAGACACCTGGCTTATAAATATAAATAACATTGTATATAACACAGAGGCTTTATATATGTTAATTCTTTCACTCCACAAGGACCTCAAGCACTAAGTGTCCTTACTATCCTCAGTCTGCCAGAGAGGTTAGCCCACTAGTCCAAGGTCACCCAGCAGGAAGTTGCAGAGCAGGTCTGTATGACACCGTAACCTTTGTTCTGGCACAGAAGGATTGCATTCAAGCCAGACTTATCAAGTGCAAAACAATCAATCAAGCCCCAGTTCCAGCTGAGTGCATGAACTTGTGCTAACCTGAGTCTATCTTGAACTTGCCCTCCTCTGCTTAGAATGCCCTCTCTCTGGTTCTGTCTAGTGTGGTTCTTCCCTGTCCTTCAAGGTTGGCTGCCATTTCCACCTCCTCCAGTAAGCCTCCTCTGGGGTGACTTCTTTCCCTCCCCCCAGCCCTCTGTACTATTCCGTTCCTCTGGCTCCTGGCACTGACTGCTCTGACGTGCCAATTCAACTGTAAACTCCCTGATGACCATGTCATACTATGCTTGTGCATCTACTAGGTATGCAAGAAATGTGTTACTTGCTCTGGCTTAGCAGCCAGGAAAAATGTGATCGTGTGTGGATGGGGGAGGGCACCGTGCATGCACACATGTGTATGTGTGTGGGAAAGAGGTACATCTGTAGCTGAGCCCTTATGACCACTCCCACATCCCTGCCCCAGCCTGGATCTGCAGGACACCAAAAGCAACTCACATTTGGTTTATTCATTAAAGGGTAGTAATCAGTGGCTGCTTCACTGAGCAGAGTAGCCAAAGTTGCCTCCCGGCCTTTGCTGACTCCTTAGCCACCAGGCCCAGGCCGAGTGGGCCCCAGGCTTTCAGGCTTTCATTTTCAAAATGAACCCTAACTGACAAGCAGCTACTTCCGTTGCTCTGGAAACTCCCCTCTGCAACCCCAAATCTGTAAACACCAAACCACACACATGCACACATACTTACAGAGGATACAAACAGCTGCAGCAATATTTTTTTAATCAAAATGCCAGCATGGTGAACTCAGGATGGGAGAATGCTTGGACTATTAATTTTCCTTGCCACTAAGCAGGCAATTCCCTGCCCGATCGCACTAATAATATCTCTGGTTCCAGTTCAAAGACTCAACAGGCAGTCGCCTGACCAACGCCACAGACCCATACACACGTGTCCTTGCTTAACTCTGTTGCCAGAGACTGAAGCCTCAGCACTTCCCCGCTGCCTTTCATTTTACTTAGCCAGTGATTTGTACCCTTGGTCACCAGCTGCACAGGCGGCTGGGTCCCCAGAACCACAACCTCTGTCTCTATTTCAGTGGAGAGGGTGTCTGAAATTTGATTCCAGGGAGTAGAAAATGGAATAGTACCCCCTCCTGAAATAAAGATGCAGTCACCTGGGGTGGCTGCTATGCCTCTTCTGAGGGATTGGGGCATGAACACCTCATCCCCAGCCTTTGGAAAGGACTCCCAAAGTTGGGTTTAGGGTATTTGCCTGGCAAATGGTGACAGCGGGTGTCTATTCCTAATTTTAGCTGCCTCTCTAAGGTTTTAGGAGTTTGTTTATGGATTCTGGAACTAAAAGAGATCTTAATGTTTCCTTGGCCCAGATGTCATTGAACGGTCAGAGGATGAAGGCAGAGAAACTTCCAGCTGAAGTGTTAGACATACCTTGGAAATCAATGTCAGTGATGAGAGCAGCTCAGCCACAATATCATATTGGAAGTCAGTGGGGAATAATAATTGAGCTGCAAGTTTTATTCCACACAATTTCTTGGGAATGCACTCCTGGGGTGAAGCCCAAGGCACGATTTGGCTGGCCATACAGTTTGCCAATCGGACTTGTGGATTCAGAAAAATTCTCGGATGCAAAATAAGCAAGAGGGGACTGTGTGGAATATGGGCAGTAAAGTTCCTCTGGCTTCCATAACCCTCACCCAGAGAGGGAGCAGGGAACATTCTAGATCGAAAATGTTCTCTTCCTTCCAAAGACCTATGCAGATATCATCACATAATTTTCAAAGACAGAGAAAACCACAGAGCGAAAGCTCCTTTCCACTGAGCAAGAGTGTATAAATGTGTGTGGGTACACAGCCAGATGTCACTGTCTCCACTTGCCCCCCCCCCTTTGAAGTGTCACGGCTTCACATGAGAGGAGCGCTGTGAAAGTTTAACATCCTGAATATTTTTCCTTATACTATAGAACAAAGCACATTTAGTAAACACGTTAAAAATTCTTTAACAGAAATTTGGAATGGTTTTTTTTCGTAGGCCTTCAGTAAAGTGTGATATACTTTTTTTTTTTAATATTTGTGTATTTATTTATACAAGCACTGGGTACAGTCAGAAGTGCAGGAGGGTGAGAGAATTCACCAGAGCCAGAGCAGGGAGCAGAACAGGCAGAAGGACAGAAGTACACTGCTGAGGGGAGCAGCGGGCGGCAGGAGAGGTTTGTGTGCCATGTGGGACCCTCGCTGGTGGCCGGGGATCGAACCGGCGCTGCGGAGGCTGCTGGCAGCTTTGCAACCCAGCGCTCAACCGCTGCGCCACAGGGGAGGCCCATGTGTGATATACATTTTAGGAAGAAAATTATGATCTTGCTTTGGGAACTGGGTAAGCTTAGAACCATAGAAGGTGGTAGGATGAAGTTGAGCCATGAGACTATTGTTTTGTAAAATGACAGAGTGAAAGGCATGGGCAGGAAGCAGAGAAACCTGCCTAGGACTCGGGCTGCAAGGCATAACTTGGAGCCCAAGTGTCAAGGATGGGCCCTGAAGTGTGACGACAAAAAAATTTCCACTACACATTTTCTGGGTACTGCAATGGAAAGAATGTAAAGTCCAAGTATTACCACGTGGTGACACACGAGGGCGCTCTAGCCGATCGGCGAATGCGAAAACCCGGAAAGGTTGCACAGATTTCAACCTGGGGGAGAGAAAGTCATTGCGGGTCCTTCTGAGGTGAATTCAGGTTTCTACCCATGATCGGGCTGCTCACCCGTGGCCTTAAGTAGATGTGAGGAAGGAGCTACAAGCATCAGGGGCTGTGGTGAGAAGGTCAGGGTGTCATCTTTTTTTTTTTTTTTTTTTTTTTTTTTTTATAGAGGCATGTTTATTTATTTATTATATTTGTTTGTTTTGTTTATACATGCATGGGTACAGTCAGAGCGCGGGAGGGTGAGAGAATTCACCAGAGCCAGAGCGGGAGCAGAGCAGGCAGAAGGGCTGAAGTACACTGCTGAGGGAGCAGCGGGTGGCAGGAGAGGTCTGCGCACCATGTGGGATCCTCCTCCGGTGGCCGGGAGCAGCCGGGGATCGAACCGGCGCCGCAGAGGCCGCGTGCAGCTTCGCAACCCAGCGCTCAACCGCTGCGCCACCGGGGAGGCCCAGGGTGTCATCTTGAAGAGAGTGCGAACAATCTAGAGAAGGGAGGATGGTGAGCAGAAGAGTGTTTCCTTACTTTATTTGGCTGCTGTAATATGTAAGACGCGGTAATAATCCCTATGGTTTTGAGAGTGCTTTCATATTTCAAAAATGATCTCTTTGACCCAAGCATCGAGCCTGTGAAGTTTATAGAGAAGAGGGTATTTATATCCAGTTCACTCACAGGCTGAGAGAGGGTAAGTGCTTGCCCGGAGCCCCAGAGCTCAAAAGTGCCCATGCCTCTGTCACCACCACCCCAGTCACGTGGTATAGTGGTCAGGGACACCTCTCGGCGACA